GAGTTTTGAGCAGTTTAGAGTAGCGCTTGCACAAATGCAGATCTCCGATCACAAATGCAGACATGGTTTCATGTTAACGCGTAAAAAGACAGTATAAGTCATTATAATCCATAATTATGTCCCCACTGGATGCAACGAATGCCTCGTTTATAATGGGGCTTCATGTTTTTGAATCGTTGCTCCGGCCCGACAGGGCATCATCACAGTATGGTAAGGGGCGTAACATTTCCGTCACACGCTTGAGGTATTCGGCCAATCATAACGCACTGGATAGCTGGCCAATCACAGCACACCTTGCTTTTCAGACCGATGAGCTTTGTAAAAATCGACGCGTTTCAGAAAGGCGGGGCATAGAGGAGAAACAATAATGTACAGTATGTGGAAAATAATGTGTTTTTTGAACCTTAAACCGCATAAACACATTTCATTACACCAAATACACAAAATAATGTTCTTTTTAGCAACATCATATGACCCCTTTAACAGTTGTCTTACAATGAATCTCTTTAGCTTGTTTAAACAATACCAAACAAATACTTAGACATAAAATAATTCAATTATGAACAATGCTTGTCATTTTTCATTTTTAAAAAACTTGAATTGGATGAATTTGTATTGGCTGTATTGTATGGTTTCTAAGCAGTGCTGTCAGGCAGGAAACGGCTGTGTGTTAGGCCTACTTTTCATTATGATGTTGGCATTTTAAATGCTGGTATTTCTTGAGTATGTGGAGGGCGTACCATACCAGAGCAGTTTGTTCAAAATTAGATTTTATCAGCAATTTTGATGTATTTAGCTACTCCCCTCAGTCTGATTCCAGCTATTTCACTATCTTCCCCAACATTTTCTCTAGAGATGCACCGACTGCAATTTTCTTGGCCGATTCCGATTTCCGATTTTTTTGTTAGTGTGATCTGCCGATACCGATTTTTGCCGATTTCTATTTTCTTAATAAAAACTATAATTGACAGCATATACAAACAAAAATCTACTTTTCTTTTGGTATTTGTGGCTCACAAGCTGTTTGAAACTGAGCGCGGATTGTGCGCTCCACTAATATAGATCAGTGGTGGTGCGCGCTTTTGGTGTAAGCGCGAAACCTGCGGGAATGACTAAAATAATGCACAATACAAGCACTATTTAACCGGAGCGAATGAGACGTGTGTGAGAGAGAAGGGGTCTTAATACCAGCTGACGTTAATACCTGTGCCGCTGATAACAAAACAGATCGGCTCGGAATCGGAAAGAAGTGAGACTGACCGGCCGGTCACCGATCCGGGCCGATCATGAGGAAAATCGGCCGATTCCGATCCCTGGCCGATCGATCGGTGCATCTCTAATTTTCTCGCAGAGGCAGATGTCATATCACTTTTAAAACATATGTTTTTTTTTTTCATATTGATACCACAAAAATGTTCATTAGCCTGAAAACTGTGTTTTCCCTCACTTTGGTTATTAAATATAACTAAAAAAGGACCTCATGAATAAAAATGCACACTTAAAAACCCAACACCGCAACGCACTCACAGATACATCAATACACACACATTCTAACAACCACACACACGCCATTCTATTCAGAGTAGAAAACCCTTAATCACTTTAAATGTTGCATAATTAAATGAATAATTGTGTAAATCTGTCCAAAATCGGTCACTGTTTTTTAATACAGCCAGAGCACAGTCTTCACATTGCCTAAACGTTTATAAACTAAACAGCTGCCAAGGGACTCGCTCATATGAATTTATTGACAAGAGATTTGTTTGACACCTACAGGAATATCCTCCGAGAAATAATAAACTATTCAATCCTGCACCTGCACTTACAGTGCATCCCAAAGTTCATTATTTAGAGAGCATGGTTTCCCAACACACCCACACACATGCGTACACCTGCAGAGAGAGAGCAAGAAATCCCTTAGGGACGACACTTGGAAATAGTTAATTGCCACAAGGGACTCACTGATCCACTCTCACGAATGACGATGGGAGCGCATAAGTAAATGTAAACCACTGCTGTACTCCCTCGCCACAGTAAAAAGCCCCAGGGCTCCCTTTTAGCCAGCTGCAAGAACCGTATATACACAAACACTTACACACACCTGCACATGATGGATGTGTCCATTGTGCTGCAGCTCATGAAAATATAACTACATTAGGCTGCATGTAATCCCTGTTATGAAGCCTGTTATACATTTGCATAATCTCCACAGTGCACACACACACACTTACCTGCAGCCATATGGATGAGCACGCTCTGGTTCGGACGCAGGTGCCCAAAGTCGAAGAGCATCAAGTAGGCAGTGATGTAATTGACAGGAAGTGCCGCCGCCTCCTCAAAGCTCATGCCCTCTGGTATCAGGAAGGTGTGTGTGGTCGCCACCACTACTACTTCCTGCCACATACCGCTCCGGTTCAGAACCAGAACCTTATCACCCACCTACAGACAAGAAAACAGAGAAACATTCAAAGAACGTTTGGACAACAGCCCTGGAATGTTTCAGCAACAATATGCCTTTCAGTGTTTCGTGCCACAGTCACTATAGCAGCGCTGCAACAATGTTGAATATACATCAATAAACATTAAGAGTGTATTCGAGAAGATGTGATAATGCTCAGCGGATCTGTATAGTTATTTGTTCATTTGCTGTTCTGCGTAGCGTTGGAGTTAAAAAAAAAAAAAAAGTTTTTTTGGCAAGACAATTGCCCAACTGCACAGATCTGGGGGATCTCTTGTGTATGTTTTGTTGTCATTACCCTTCAAGACAGCATACCGCAACGAAATATTTGAACCTGTACTGTAGGCCAGCTGGACTGTTTTGTTAATCTTTATCTTGGAGCAGATAAATATGCTCCATTTAGAGTTGTTTGATAATATCAGTTGTAACTGAAAATCCTTTAATTACCTTACACACACACACACACACACACACACACACAGATACAGGAAAACTCATTGAGCAGACTTCCACTACTTCCTTTGGAATGAAGAGATACAAGGAATGCAAACACACACACACACACACACATTTGTAACACATAAATCTGAACCACAATTAGTGAGTTTGTGCATTTGAAATTGAGCTACAGTGGTTTGTTGCATAATCGAGCCTATACATGACAATGCATAATCAAATATTTTGTGAAATGGAAATTCACTATTTCCTGCATGCTACTGTGAGCGAATCATCCATGCTTGTTGCTTTTTTTTTTTTTATTGAGCTTGTGATTTTTAAATCAAAATTGACTTTCAAAACTTGACCTCCCAGTGAAAGGATAGATTTCTTTCTGGTTGAGTATGCTGGACTTCTCCAATCATTCAGGTATTTTAAACCCCGTCCCTTTCTTACAATCAAACACAAGCGTTCAGACCGGCCTCCATCCAATCAACAACCGATGGATAGAACCAAATCCCCACCCTATTTTTTTTTTTCTTTTTCAATAAGCTGTTTCTTTCGGATGTACGTTACAATTCAGAAGAAAAGGTCTGATGCTAATTTCATTACATCGCAATTTTAAGGTGTACCATTGTCGGACAAATCCAAGCTACAATTATGTTATATAGGTCTGTTAGTCTGACTTCACAAAATCCTGACCAGTACCATTTTAACTGGACTAATGCATTTACATGCATTTTATTGTCAATTTCTTTAGTCCAACTTTTACTCCAGTATTATTTTGGACCCCATTGCCTTTCACCGTATTGGCAAAAATAGTTAAAACATTCTTCAAAATATCTTTGTGTTCCACAGAAGAAAATGACAGGTTTGGAATTACATGAAGCTGAGTAAATGACTATTTTCATTTTTGGATGAACTATCCCTTTAAATACAGTATGAGCAATAGGAGGTACCACTAATAAACCTCTAAAGGAATTGCACAGTCTAATATTTGCACCACTAATGGTCCATGTTTTCAAATCAATGGTTGAGCCAGTGTTGTTATATCCAACCCAGTCAAGCTGCTAAAAAAAAAAACAGATTGCCATTCTGTTTGGTGTCGCTGGCGCAAACAAACGGCACACTTCACCTTTAAGCTGTTTACAAACTTCATAAAAGCAGTGACACTGACTGGTCCGACCTTTGTAACATGCACAAAAACACTCAACACTTATGTCCCGTCCTCCACTTGTGCATTTTCTCAGTCACTAGCATCACAAACATCCCACTTCCTCCACCACTCTTTCTCCGTCTATCACTCCTTTACATCTCTCATCTCCCCCTCTACCTCCGTCTTTCTTTATTTCTAAAGATCAGTTCCTCTCATCGGGGGGCAGGCAGATCCTTCAGCCTCAATGAGCTTGAGAGAAGACAACAACACACACACACAACCGGAAAACCATCTCTTCATTTCTCTATCTGAGGACACACAAACTTGGCACAAATGCTCAACAGAGCTTCAGAAACCACACACACACACACACACACAAGCTTTTCTCAAAAGCAAAATGCAAACACTAATATACCCAGTGCTTCCCTCACAGACAGGAAGACACACAGTCTAATCGGCCCAAGGGACGCATGGGTATGTTTGTCTATACAGTCCAATTAGAGAGCAGGACTACTCCCAAGCCGATACGTCTGTACCCCAGTTCATCTCTCCTCACGGTTTGCAGTCTTTCCTGTCTCTCTCTCTTCTCATCTTCCACGTCTCAGTATTGCTTTCTGCCATTCCTCTTCTTCTTTCTCCTTTAATTGGACTTTCTGCACATCTCAGATCAATGGACAATAAGTCTCAGCCAGGAACTGCGATCATGACTCACCATACGGGGAAATCTGCCCTCTTCCCCTTCCTTTTTTTCTCTCTCTCTTTCTTCGTCAGACTTGCAAAACAGTCACACTTGTGTCACTAACTCATCATCATACTTTGTATTCTGTGCTTGCGCTGAACAAACACACTTTTCAGCGGAGATTGCAAAGATCAAGGCCAGCTGAAGGTCTTGTGAGATGTCTGTCACTGGCTGTGATCCTCTCCCATGTCTCTCCAGTCTCTTCCTGTCCTGTATGCATGCACGTACACACTTAAACACACATGCTCACACACACACAGACTTTGAAGGGTAAAGTGGCTCTCTCTAATGCATTTTGCTCATGCAATACATCTGTCGGTGAACTTCTAATCTTGTTGCTGTGGAAATGAGCGGAATTCTGCTCCATAAAGCTTTGCTGTCTCCCAGCACTGATTTTGTCTATTTTATCTGTTTGTTTTGTATCTGGCAGCAGTAGCCCTGCGGTTGAGGCTCTGGGCTGCTAACACAAAGGACGGCGGCTCAAAATCCCACGTGGGGCAGAGAGATATTGAGATCACAATCCTGTTTTATCACCACTGTGCCTTTGAGCAAGACGCTTAAACCCTGTATGCTCCAGGTGGGGTGCAGTCCATGCAGAAATTCACTGCTGCTTTAAATTGGAAGCATCTATGAAACAGCAACTAATTATGGAGGAACTAATTACTAAATATTTCTGCTTTATTTTAGCTATATTTTAACTAATTATTTAAATATTCTGATTATTGATTATCTAATGATTATTTTAATATTAATTAATATGAAAAAAGCTTATTTTTCACTTGCATGTTAACTGGTATCCACCAAGCGTTGTAAAGAATTGTTATTTTGCAAACAGTAAAACATATGGGGAAAAAGTTATTATTTTATTGACATGTCTTGTGATGTGAACATGCTTTACTCTCCCTAAAGTTATTTTAAATAACTATGTTTAAATAGCACAATAATTTTATAATTACTATTCATGCAGCTTAATGACCTAACATTAATTGAGAGATTACATGGGATATTTATACTTTTTCCCCTCATTCAGTGTTTTTTTTTTTCCGTTTTTTTTTCTGGACCTGCAGAGATCCCTAACCCTAACCCTATGAACTAGAAAAGGCAACAAAATGAAAAAATGGTGACCAGTCACAAAATAATGTCCTTTTTAACAACATCATATGACCCCTTTAAGATATATAATGTCCCCATTATATATTAATATTACATACATATTACGCATTTTTCCGTTAATAAATTCCTATAAATTGCAAAAAAAAATGTTTTACCAACTTGCCATTCAGCAGCAATGTTAACATCTTTTACTCAGAAATAATAGGTACTTTTTTTGGAACTTTTATTTTTTTCCATGTACAAATATAAAAGCCATTTTTATATCGCGTCGCGCCGCAACAGCTCTACACTGGACGCGACAAAGCGACAGTTGCAAATAATTTTAACTTTGTGTCGGTACGAAAAATGTCATTCATATCAATTCATGCATCACCTAATTTCATCGTAACATAGGCCTGGCCTACAGAAAAAAACATTTATGTTTAATCTATCTAATAGTGTGTTGGTCATACTATACAATGATTTATAGCTTGTCTTTGTTGAATAATACAGAACATAAAGAGCTTTAAAAAATAATTGCATATTAAATAGCAAATCGCAATATTGGTAAAAAAATAAAAATAATAAATAAAAAAATAAAAATTAATTCGCAGATTATTTTCCAAAATCGTTCAGCCCTACTTTTAAAACTATAAAAGTATTAAATGTTTTTAAAAAACAGTTAAATAATGTTAAAAAGTTAAAATACTTAAAATGCACAGTGAGGTAACTGCAGTCGCAGTTTGACTTGTCAACTTCATCCATTTATTATTGCTTGTTTTTATGTTGCACCTAATAAAACTGGGCTTAGAGAGTCATTTTATTCTCACCCGCGTTGTTTATACCCTACAATTGTTAAATTAGGTCATACTTCCATCACAGCACCAGTACTGTTTCCACTTCTGTAACCACTCTCTGCACATCGTGAAACACCGGTACCTCTCTTGTTGTATTGTGACATTACGGTTCAGTAAATGTTTTTATTATTTTTCCACATTGATGCAGCTCTAACATGTTGATCGCTCTTATAGTACCGCTAACTGAACAAATCTCAGCCTACAACTCATAAACCCACAACTCTTCCTTTATGGCGCCGTTAAACTGCTCTTAAATGAGAGTAGTTGAAACCACGTCAGGTTTCCATGTCAAAAACCTTATGGTTAAAACGGTTTCTCGATCAGAAATGTTACACAGCAACATCAGATTCAGCTATAGAGGCTCGTGTCCCTGCTGTTCACTTACTGATATTCACTGCATCGCTGTTTATCATCGACCTGTCAAATCACACACACACACACAGACACAGAGGGAGGGAGAGAGGGAGGGAGAGGGAGAGGGAGAGAGAGAGAGAGGG